AGTCCCCTAGTAGCGTAGCCAATCAAAATGCAGGATTTGCATTAGTCCACTAGTTGGGTGATACTAAATAAACAATAGCCTTAATTTGGCGCGAAAGTATGCTCGGATATTTGTCCGCGGACATTATCTGTTCGGAGAAGCCAACAGTTTTCCGAGAGCGTAGCAATGGTCGCTACAACGGTGAAAAAACGGCGGACTGTAATAAGTACTCGAGGATGTCGCTCGGTTGATTCATTTATGCTAAGGCAAGCATGAATTTTTTTCCCGACATTTCACTATTAAGAAAACAAGGCTCCCCCTGCCTACTCAGAGGCGCTCTTGCTTATATATTCAGTGATGTTCTTATATGGATGCAATATTTAAAGAAGGTTTGTTGAAATAAAATGTGCCTTCTCACGGAAATTTCTTGTATACCGCGGGAAAATAAATTTAAAGGGTTCGAAAACCTTCTTCAATTTTGTCCGAAAAAAATTAATTCCCCACGAAAACAATACACCAGCTTTCCATTAATTACGTGAAAATGTTGCTGCTTACCAGGAATAATGGGAAAGCACATAAAGTTCGCAATTTTTTTTTGTTTATACGATCGACGAAATTCCCGCCTATTTTTCAAACTTGGGCCCTCGCACGAGGCAAAAACTCGCCCATGCTTATTACGTTTTTCCGCTCTGAGGGGCAGGGTGGGTTGAATGTAACCCCCATCCGCTTTCGTTATGACAAGATATATAAATTGGGGGGGGGGGGCTTAATAGTTAGCCTTCAAATTGTTCTATAACATAATTGGATTAGTGCTGGATATGACGTCACATGACATCCCACGACATCGTTACGTCTACCACATTGGATCTGTCATCTTGGATTTCAAGGTTTCCTCAGGAAGCCAGAAAATAACTACATATTAATTCATTGCGACCTTGTCCTATGTCGTATGGCATTAACAATTGACTAGTGCATAACGATCACCGAAAGCAAATGGCCTCGTTTGTGGGCAACGAGTTTCATGAGGGGAGAATATCCCTGGAGTTTGCGTCATTGAAATTGCTGTAAACATCATTTAATGTTTTACAGAATAAAATGCAGAAAATGTATTGAACATTATATTGAAATCTGTTAAATGTAGAAAGTACCTGCGTAGCTGGTGGAATTCGCGAACGTGCGATATTTGGCTCGGAGACGCCATGTTTTTTTTCCTCGCGACCCGCGAGGAAATTCGCAAGCGACGAAGCCGCGAGTAAAATTCCCACCTGCCTCATTTCTTATAGTTTTTGCTTGCCTCCCACTTTTATCACCGCTGTTTACGACAATTAACTAAGCCAATCAGAGAGTAAGCTTTAATACGAAACTTGACAGGTCCACATAGACTTTTCTATTTACCACTCTTGTATGATATAATACGGGGTATTTCGCAAATAGCTTTCAGC